GGGCGCTGATGGCGCGCAGTGGTGGCCCTCTGATCATGCCGCAGTTGCGGACAATGCCCCTGAGGGCTCGCCTCCTCAGCGTGAAGTCGAGTGGGGCTCGAGCGGGCGACCTGCCGAGCGCCCTCCGTGGAGCTTCGAGGCGCAGCGTTGGTGATGGCCGCAGTTGCGGGCAAGTGGAGCATGATGTTGATTGCCGCAGTTGCGGACAGTGTACGCTGGAAAAATCATCATCATCATCAATCATAATCATCATCATATCATCATATCATACGTTCAAAGCAGTGCCGGGGCACTGCTTTGAACGCGTTCAAAGCAGTGCCGGGGCACTGCTTTCGATCGTCGCCTCGTCGCCGTTATAAGGGCTTTCGGATTACGCTAAAGATGCAGCGCTGCCTGCGCCATGAGGCCGCGGCGCTCGACAAAATCATTTAACCTGCTTAATGTTGTTGCAAGAAGCGAGCGCGGCCTAGCTCCCCCGCCAGCTTCCTTGCATCCTGCCTGCATTCTTCAATGCGCGAGCTAAACACTCGAAAGCGCGCCGACGGGTCTGCGGGCGGCCCGCGACAGCGCCCCGAGGGATCCCCCAGCTGCCTTCGAAAGTGGCGACAAGCCCGCAGATCGCAGCCCCCCCGAGGGATGGCGAGGTCTGATCTGAGTCGTGGTGGTGTTTCACTCAGCTGGGCCCCCAAGCAGTTCTCGAACGTGGCGACGCTTTCGCAGATCGAAGTCCCCCAGGGATGGCAAGGTCTAATATGAGTCTGGGTGGTGCGTCGCTCCGCTGAGCCCCCCAGCAGCCCTCGAAAGTGGCGACAGTTTCGCAGATCGCAGCCCCCCAGTGATGGCGAGGTCGAATCTGAATCTGCGTAGGACTTCACCCCGCTGGCCCCGCCAGCAGCCCACGAAAGTGGCAACAGTTTCGCAGATCGCACCCCCCCCCAGGGATGACGAGGTCTAGTCTAAGTCGGCGTAGGACATCGCTCCGCTGGACCCCCCAACAAAGCCTCGAAAGTGGCGACGCTTTCGCAGACCGCAGCCCCCCCACAGATGGCGAGGTCGCATGTGAGTTCGCGTAAGACGTCATTCCGCTGGACACCACAACAGCCTTCGAAAGCGGCGATAGCTTCGCATATCGCAGCTTCCCAAGGATGACGAGGTCGCATATGAGTCCGTATAAGACGTCACCCCGTTGGTCCCCCCAGGAGCCCTCGAACGTGGCGACACTTTCGCAGATCGCAGCCCCCCAGGGGTGACGACGTCTGATCTGAATCTGCGTAGGACGTTACTCCGCTGGACCCCCAGCAGCCCTCGAAAGTGGCGACACTTTTGCAGATCGCACTGCCCAAAGATGGCGAGGTCGAGCGTGAGCCCGCGTAACACGTCAATCCATTGGACCCCCCAGCAGCTTTGGAAAGCGGCGATGTTTTCGCAGATCGCAGCCTCCAGGGGATGGTGAGGTCCCATTTGAGCCCGTGTAAGACGTCATTCCGTTGAGCCCCCCAACAGCCCTCGAACGTGGCGACACGCTCGCAGACCGCAGCCCCCCAGTGGTGACGACGCCTGATCTGAATCTGCGCAGGACGTCGCTCCGTTGGACCCCCCCAGCAGCCCTCGAAAGTGGCGACAGTTTCGCAGATCGCAGCCCCCCCAGGGATGGCGAGGTCGAATGTGAATCTGCGTAGGACGTCGCTCCGCTGGACCCCCCAGCAGCCCTCTCAAGTGGCGACAGTTTCGCAGTTCGCAGCCCCCCCCAGGGATGGCGAGGTCGAATGTGAGTCCGCGTAAGACGTCAGTCCGCTTGTAGGACGTCATTCCGCTGTTTCTCCCAGCAAGCCTCGAAAGTGGCGACAGCCCCGCAGATCACAGCCCCCCCAGGGATGGCGAGGTCGAATGTGAGTCCGCGTAGGACGTCGCTCCGCTGGACCCCGGCAGCCCTCGAACGTGGCGACAGTTTCGCAAATCGAAGTCCCCCAGGGATGACGATGTCGAGTTTGAATGTGTGTAGGACGTCACCCCGCTGGGCCTCCCAGCAGCCTTTGCATGTGGCGGTAGTTTCGCATACCGAAGTCCTTCAGGACTACGAAGTCGAATCTGAATTTGCGTAGGACCTCACTGACCCGGACCCCCTGCAGCCCTCTCAAGTGGCGACGCCTTTGCAGATCGCATCCCCCAACGGATGACAAACGCGAATCTAAATCTGCGTAGGACGTCACTCCGCTGGACCCTCCAACAACCTTCGCAAGTGGCGACCGTTTCGCAGATCGCAGCCCCCCAAGAATGACAAGGTCTGATCTAAGCCTGCGTGGGACCCCACTCCGCTGGCCCCCACAGTAACCCTCGAAAGTGGCGACCTTTTCGCAGATCGGGTCCCCCCACGGATGACGAGGTCTAATTTTAAATCGGCGTGGGACCCCATTCCGCTTGCCCCTCCCCCCAGCAGCCCTCGAAAGTGGCGACATTCTCGCAGATCGCCGCCTCCCAGGGATGACGAGGCCTAATCTGAACCTGCGTAGGACGTCTCTCGCTCGACCCCCAACAGCCCTTCGAAAATGGCGACATCTTCGCAGGTTGCAGCCCCCCAGGGATGACGAAGTCTAATCTGGATCTGCGTGGGACCCCACTCTGCTGGTTCCCCCAGCAGCCGTTGAAAGTGGCGACAGCTTCGCAGATTGCAGCTCCCAGGGATGGCGAGGTCTCATGTGATTCCGTGCAAGACGTCGCCCCTCTGGACCCCTTAGCAGCCCTCGAAAATGGCGATAGTTCCGCAGATCGCAGCCCCCCAGGGATGACGAGGTCTAATCGGAATCTGCGGCGGACACCCATTGGCCCCCAGCAGCCTGTGAAAGTGGCGACAATTTTGCATATTGCAGCCCCCTCCAGGGATGGCGAGGTCTAATCTGAATCTGCGGCGGGTACCCAATATGCTTGTCCCCCCAGCAGCCTTCAAAAGTGGCGACGGTTTCGCAGATCGCAGCCCCCCAGGCATGCCAGCTTCACACTTCGCAGCCCCCACAAGCAAGCCACCAGGCGCACAGGGAGGAGAGGAGAAAGGAGGCGGGGAGGAGGAAGGAAGGACGGAGACCGCACTGCTTTATTCAAAACGAGAACCCAACGCAGGAGGTATGGGAAAAAAGGTACCGACACTGCTACCCTTGCCTCGTTTTTCCCCTTTGCGGGGGAGGGGCTCCTAGAAAGCCCTCGTCGCCACTGCTGGATGCGCCTCGGAATTGTGGTCAGAGCGCACCGCGGGAGAGGTCCGGGAAGTACTGGCATCGGTACCTCTTGGTGTTTAAGAAACCTCCTCCCGAAAAGGTGGGCCGTCGTTTCTCACCCAGCTTGCCGGAGAGCTGGCCCAGTCTTTCTCAGGCACGTTCGCCCTTCCAGCGTGACAAGCAAGTTGGCCCAGGTCTGTTGTCAGAAACTTCGGGCAGCTGGCCCAGGCTCCCTGCACGGTGTTGTTGTTTTTGTTCTTGGTCATGTGTTCGGCTCTAGTGTGGCAACAACTCGCAGGAGCCTTTTTGTGTCCTCGTGTGCTCTCCTCTGGCCCCCCTGCCCTCAGGCGCTGGCGTGGCAGCGTCCTCCTCCTCCTCCTCCTCCTCCTCCCCCTCCTCCTCCTCCTCCTCCTTCTCCTCCTCCTCCCCATCGCGCGCGCGTGCTTCCCCCGTCCCCTCGTGCCTCAATCAGCTCTGGCGCGTGCCGCCGCTGCTCGACCGCTGTGCGATCCCGTCTGCTGCCGCCGACTGCAAGGTACGTCCTCGCAGGCTCGTCTTCCGAGTGCAGCGGCCCTGGCATCGCTCGGACGTGTGCATTCTTTCTCGGCGAGGGCCAGCGAGGAACATCCTTGATCACTTGGCGAAAAAACGCGCACGAAACCGAAACAAAAAAAACAGGGAATGGACGTCCGAGCGATGGCCAGTAGCGTGCGCTGGCGCCTGGTAGTCGATGGGAGGGTGCCGATTCAGCGTTGAGTGGCGCTGATTTAGCTACGGCTAGCATCGATCAGCGTCCAGCGTCGACTAAGCATCGATTAGCGTCGAGCAAGCGTCGAGTGCGCCTCGATGTAGCGCCGACTTCTGAGATAGCATCGATGAGGATGCGTCGGTCAAGCGTCGGTCAGCGTCGACTCGGACGAGCCAGTAACATGACACGGGAGACTGCCGTGAGTTGCCGCAGAAGCCCAGGCTTCCAAGTCAACCCCGAGACTTGTCCTGGGGCGCGCTCTGCCCAGAACGAACGTTCGGGGCCAGCCCAGACGCGGTGGAGAGGGCGCCCAGGGAAGCCCAGCAAGCGCGAAAAACCGCCAAGCGCTTCGACCTAACTACAGGGCCCATTTCGACTCTGTCGATTCGATTCTTTTTCGAGGATTCCGATCTCGATTCGATTCGACTGCGAAGTCCGTCTTCGATTTGGGATTCCTTGTGCAAGCCTCGGCTCGGCCCGCTGGGCGTCGATTCGAGGCCTTCAGACCTGCCTGCCGATTTCTGCCGACTCGGCGTGTAGTTCGATTGCCGCTTCGACGTGCTTCGTGCTGGGCCAGGCAGCCTGCGGCGCGCAAACAACTTGTGCCCCTCCTCCTGAGACGCCGCAGCTCTGGGCCGCGAGGAGGAGTAGGAGGAAGAGGAGGAGGAGGAGAAGCAGGAGGAGGAGGAGGAGGCGGAGCAGTAGGAGGAGGAGGAGGAGGAGGAGGAGGAGCAGGAGGAGGAGGAGCAGGAGGAGCAGAAGGAGCAGGAGCAGAAGGAGGAGGAGGAGGAGGAGGAGGAGGAGGAGGAGCAGGAGGAGCAGGAGGAGGAGCAGGAGGAGGAGGAGGAGTTCACGATTCCCCTCTCGGGCCGTTTCCAGGCTCGGCTCGGCCGGCCCCCCACGCTCCCCCGCCCGCCCTGATCCCCGGGGGGCTCCGACCGGGGGGCGCCGCCGCCTCTCTGCGGCCTGCCCGCCCTCCTGCCTGCCCCCCGGGTCCTCGCGCGGCGCCTCCCACGCCTCCCGCGTGGGCGGCCCGGGCCGAGGACCTCGGCTCTGGACGCCGAGCGGGCCGGGCCAGCCGCCGACCCCGCCGCGCGAAGCGCCCTCCCCCCCCCCCAGAGATCCAACGTATGGAAAAAATCAAGGCGGAGGTTTTTCGCAAGGTTCGGCAATCAAGGCGGAGGTTTTTCGCAAAGTGCGGCCCCTATAGGGGCCCTCGCCGGGCCTCGGGACCGTCAAAAGGCGATTCAGGATGAAGAACCGGTCCTGGGGAAGGAGTCGAGGCTTCCGGGGACCCCGATCGAGAAAATCACGACATCGGATCTCAGGGCCTGGCCAGAGCCCTTTTGGGAGGGAGTGGTGCGGGCAAGATGTGTATCCATGGCCAGCGCGTCTTGGACCTCGCCGAGCGCGTTGCACTGCTTGCAACCACTGCTCGCAAAGTGTAACTACTCCAAGACCTCCTTGCGTTGTGTAAAAATGCGGACGAGCTTTTTTCGCCTTTTTCGGCCTCCAGGGGCCCCCGCCGGGTCTCGGGACTGTCAAAAACTGACTCTGGACGAAAAACCGGGTCCCAGGAAGGGGTCCAGAATTTTGAATGACGTCGGGTTCCGGGTTCCATTATTCGCAAAGTGCACTATTCACAAACGTCATACAAAACATATGTCTGCACCGAGGTCATGCATCGTAAATCCCCCATGGCGGATCCGGGCCATTTGCGAGGAGTTGCTTTTGCGAGTCGTGGAACGCGCTTGTCCATTGGACTTTCTCGAAAGGGGCGCCGCGAGGCCGAGGCGCATTGGATACTTGTGGATAAAGATCGAGCCCCTATATGGGGCCAGATCTTGATCCGCATCCACATTGCGCCTCGGCTTTCCCTGGGGAAAGAAGCCCCGGACTCCAAGCCGCAGCGGATGTGGACACCAGCATTGCCCGCAATTGCGCATCGCCCAGACGTGTGCGTTTTCTCTCGGCGAGGACCATCCAGGAGATCCTGGATCACTTTCCAGACTTCCGCCGATCTGATTTTTTCAATCCGCGGCTTTCGTCCCGGATCTTTCTCTTATGGTCCCCGGGCACGATAACGGGCCCCAGTGGCTGAAATCCAGGAAAAGCCGCCGGATTGAAAAAGTCGTATCCTCGGATCTGGCTTCGCGAGCAAATCATGTACGCAAGCAACAATGCACGGGGGAATGGCCGTCCGAGCGATGGAAAGGCAAGGCGGGGTGCGAGCCTGGGCTGTCAAGAGTATGCGGGGCGGCCGGGGGCGAGTGGCGATGCAGGGGGCCCTGGCCGTCTGCTGGGTATCCAGCAGGTCCACGCCGAAAAGCTGCGGGGGCGCCCGTGTGCCCTCCAGCGGCAGCGTCGGGAGTTGGCGCGCCCTTGGTGCCCTTCCAGACATCCTCGCGCTGTAATAATAAGCGTATAAATATTGGTAATAAGAATACGAATATAATACTTTTACTACTACTACTACTACTACTACTACTACTACTACTACTACTGCTGCTGCTGCTGCTGCTGCTGCTGCTGCTGCTGCTGCTGCTACTACTACTACTACTACTACTTCTACTGCTGCTACTACTACTACTGCTGCTGCTGCTACTACTACTACTGCTGCTGCTGCTACTACTACTACTGCTGCTGCTGCTACTACTACTACTTCTACTACTACACTACTACTACTACTACTACTACTACTACTACTACTACTACTACTACTACTATACTACTACTACTACTAATACTACTACTACTACTACTACTACGACTACGACTACGACTACTACTACTACTACTACTACCACTACTACTACTACTACTACTACTACTACTACTACTACTACTACTACTACTACTACTACTTCTACTGCTGCTACTACTACTACTGCTGCTGCTACTACTACTACTATTACTACTACTACTACTACTACTACTACTAATAATAATAATAATAATGAGAATAATAATCATCTGGGTAGGGGGTTCAGAGCTGTGGGGGTCGACGTTGTGAACAAATCACGACGTCGGGGGTCTGGATTGGGTTCTCGGTGTTCGTGCAGTTGCATCCGAGCATCTCGGGAAGTTGAGGGGTGCGGAAGATGTGTCCAACTGGGCCCTCTATCACTAGTGGGCAGGAACCGTTGAAGTAGGGCGAGGGGGTCAGGGGGGGGTCTTGGACGGGGGACGGAGAGGAAGGGGAAGGGGGAGAGGGCCAGCGCTTCTCTTCTTGACCAACTCGTCGGAAAGCTGGCCCCGTTTCTTGAGCACGGTCGCCTTCCAGCGTTACAGATAGACGTTGGCCAAGGCTTGTTTTGAGACATGTATTGAACCGTTATTGTGCGTCAGGGAGTAGCGCAGCGTAGATTAGCTGATCTTGTCTTTCCCGCACAGTTCCATCAGTTTGCCCCTGAGCTTACGCTGGTCGGAGCGATGTTGTTGGTAAGTGGTGGCCAGTTCGGTTTGGTGCTTGTGAGCCAGTTCGTTGTAAGCACCGACTGCTATATCAACGCCACCACTGCTTTGGAGTGCGGCAGCGCAGGCCTCCACTTTCGACGCAGGTTGTTGTCCTGGCGATCATCTGAGGTTGCCTTTGTGCGGCCCTTGCCTGGTGGCTTGGGTTGCCTTGCTGCAAAAGGTGCGCGGCGTGGGGCTTTTGGAGCCATGGCGCGCGCAGAACTGAAGGTGGGCGACTCGAATGAGTCACGCGCTGCAGTGGCATGTGTCCAGTTGGAGATGTGTTCAACGGAAGCGCTGGGCGCCTCGGGTCTGTGGCCACACCTGGACCCGAAGGTACTGGCGCCGAGACTAAGAGACAAGGGCATCCGCATAAAGGGGGTATAGCGTCAGAGCACCTGCTGAGACCAGGAGAGGGCGGAGCAGGAGGAGAAGAGGTGGGGAGGGAGGGGCAGGAGTGCGCAGGGGAGCAGCAGCAGGATCACAGGAGCCGGTGCCCGTATTCCCGACACCTGCCTCCGTGCCCGTCCTTCGTCGTTCCCTCCTCCCTCCCCCTCCCCCTCCTCTTCCCTCTGCCCCTCCCTTTTCCCTCTCGCCGGAAGCCTCTTTGGACATCCCCGGAACCAGATGAAGAGCATCTCAAGACCTACGGCAGCTTGCGAAAACAGCCGTCAATTTGTGGAAGTCTCCACACCTCCCTCCGTCTTTTCCTCCTCCCCCCCTCCCCCCCTCCGACGACGACGGCGACGACGCTTCGGCACGGACGACGTCGGCGCGAGAGCCAGGCGAAGATCGTGCCGCGGCCTCTGTCCCCGTCGCACTTCCCCATGGCCTCGCCGACGCCGGCCGGCGCAACCTCCACGCAGGAGGGCCAGCGGCGTTTCTTTCTCGGGCGGGGTGTGGGGGGTTGGGGGAGCAGGAGGAGGGATGTCGGCAGGAAGCAGGAAGGAGGAGGGAAGAAGAGGGAGGAAGCTGGAAGGAGAAGGGAGAAGGGAGGAAGCAGGCAAGAGGAAGAAAGGAGGAGGAGGGGGAAGAGAGGGAGTTGAAGGAGGGGGGGGAGCAGGAGGTGGGCCGGGCGATACCATGGGCGCTGCGCCGTGGCCAATGATAGGGCAGGCCTCCGTGTCCCCAGGAGGCGAGCTGCTGAACCTTCCGAGGGGCGAGCAGGAAGGCATGTGCAAAAAACAGCTTGCCCCGCCATGTGGCCCGTCTCATCCCGCCCTCGAGCGCAGAGCAGGAGGAGGGACGAGGGAGGAAGCAGAAAGCATAAGGGCAAAGCAAAACGTAACCACAACGATGACCTCTCGCTTGAGCACTGCGCATCACTACAGCAAAAAGTGGCGCCGCAGCGCGAGAAAGAAGCACAGAAGGGGAGAGGCAGGAGGCAGGAAGAAGGGAGGAAGCAGGAACGGAGGAAGGCGGAAGGAGGAGGAGGAGGAGGAGGAGGAGGAGGAGAAGGAGAAAGAGGAGGAGGAGCCCTGCCTGCGATGAGGCAGGGCCAGGAGAAGAGCCGAGAGCTCCAGTAAGCGGAGGGGGGCCGCCGCGGCACGCGCGGGGCCCGGCACCACGGGCGCGGCCAGTGACGGGCGCGCTGTTCGGTGGCAACGCGCGCGAGCCGTATTCCAAATCCCCTATTAATCGTCCCCCGGGTCCGGTTTTTTTAGGGCGCCTTTTTGAAAATTGGGGGGTTTGGTCTATCAGGGCGCTCTCTTTGGATTAGAGCTCAGGGGGTCCGGTTTATCAAGGCGCCCCGTCGAAGAGGGGGGTCCGGAATATTAGGTCGCATTTGGAGGGGGGTCCAGTTTTTTTAGGGGGGGGTCGATTATGATTTGCAGTAAGTCGGGCGTGTCCCTCTGCATGTTTGGCTATTATTTTCTCTCGTCCAATATCCGCCTGTAGGGGGACATGCCCCACCTACCGCGAGCCTCCCACGTCATTTCGTTGGTTTCCGACGCTGGCGGACACTGGCCCACGCAGGTCGACGCCAGGTCGACGCGAAATCGACGCTGGACAACGCCAAACAGATCGGTGCTTTCTCCTCGACTGCTACAGGCCAGCGCACGCTAATGCAGTGAATTGATTGGCTTTCGAGGGCACACAGGCCTCCCATGTGTTGCCGTCGAAGCGTGTTGGTGGCAATGCTGCCCTGCCGTTGGTACGATCGAGATAGGTACGGAAAGAGAGCGGACGAGAACCGACAGCAGGTCTTGCCCGTTTCGAGCAGGACTCGTTGTCGGCGTCGCCACTGACGTTATTGCCCATGCAAACAACTGCCCAACTGCGGCCGCCGTCCGTCTTGGACGACGCTGGATGTTGGGCGTCGTACCCCATCTTTCCGTACCCACTTCGGGTGCGCCATGACCAGAGTGCGGTGCAAGCATTTAAGCCTCATGAGATTGGTCGGTATGTTGGAGTCGTCACTGCAGCAACGTGCCAGGGGATAATGTGACCGGGATGCCCCCAGAAAGGCCTCAGTTTACCAGCAGGCCCTTGCCCACCCCGACATCCTCCTCCCCTCCTCCTCCACCTCCTCCTCCTCCTCCTGCTCCTCCTCCTCCTGCTCCTCCTCCCCCTCTTCCTCCTCCTC